ATTTACGTTCACCTTCAGCAGATTTGCACAGCAATATCTATTCACCCTTTCAAGACCAGCGTTCATAGTATCAACACACTCATGCACATCATCACTACTAAAGTACAGTAGGGTGTCGTCGGCAAATAAGTGAATTTTACATTCTTCTGCTATGGTTACGATATCATTTAAATATATTAGGAATAACAATGGTCCCAATATAGACCCTTGGGGTACACCAATATCATTTTGCATTTTATCTGAATATACTTCATCTAGTTTCAACCTTTGCTTTCTATTGCTCAAATAATTCATGATCCAGTTTAGTGCTATTCCATCAATACCTACGCTTTCAATCTTTCTAATCAGTCTGCCTCTATCTACAGTTTCGAATGCCCTTTGCAGGTCAAGAAATACTGCAATAGTAAACTGATTTTTTTCCGCACTTTTCCTCCAATCTGTTAAAACACATTGTAACGCCGTTTCACAACTATGTTTGCTCTGAAAACCTGATTGATACTCACATAGGACCCTATTACTCTCCAAATAATCCACTATCTGCTCATATACAGCCTTTTCCAATACTTTAGCAGTAGCATTAATCATGTTTATTGGCCTTAATTGAATAGCTTGGTTTGTATTTGGCACTTTTGGTATAGGTATAATAGTGGATAATTTTAATTCAGTTGGTACCTCACCTCTCTCTAAAGAACTGTTGATAATGTTCAACAATGGATTACAAATGGCATTGAAACACTTTTTCAGAAATTCTACACAAATCTCATCGGGACTATTTTTATTTTTCAAAGCACCAATAATTCTTTCTAGATCTCTAGAATACAGGGTGCTCCATTTGAAAATCGAGAGTTGATGCCCGTTACGCTTCAAGTTTTCAACTTTTCAAAAATGTTTCCCCCATCAAATTAAAATCGACTTGTCCGAGCGATTTTCAATTTTTTTAACGACATCGGAGATAAGTTTTAGCACACATATTATCTTCAGGGGCCCACTTCCAGGAGACATTTTTCGGCTCTTGTTCATTTTTGGTCGTAGAAGCCGCTGGTGAAGTGTGGCAGGCTAATGTCGGGATACCCTGTATATATATAACAAAAAACAGGACCCGCTTCTGCCTAACATAGGTACATCATTATCATCTACAACCGAACTTTCAAATGACGAAAGTATTTTACTAAAGACAATATAGTCAGCTGATTACTAATTGAATTTAGATTCGGACATCATTAATGCTACTGCTGGACTGAAGATGCTTCAATCTGTATTCAGGTACAGAATCAAATTCAGGCATATCCATTCAGATCATCAAAAATATTCCATGTGATGGCAAACAAACGGAATATAGGAAAATGTATTGTGACAATAAACTTCAATTTTCGTTGATCCGTGTTCTGATTGAAGGCGCCACGAACTCCAATTCGAAATATCCTGGTTTTGTGAGTGGGATAACCAGCCTGACTGGTTTCCTGCACGATTCGTATTCATACTTCCACTTTGCACCACTCGATACTGTTGCAACGGCACTATTCAAACTCGTTCTAGCGAGAAACGTTCGATGTTTCCTCGGAATAGGCTCGGAAAAGTCGAGGAACGTGAAATTAGGAAACAACAGAATTGTTTCCACCAGGTGATGAAATGCCCGGGAAATTACTGTAGGTTTGTCACGTACACGAATGTGCTGTTAATATTTCATTAATCGGAAAGGAAGTCTCGAATCCGAACATCATCCCACACCTGCTACCATTTCGCATTTTCGCTTATAGAAGGAAATGGCTGTGCCTGGATGATCGGTATGTCGCGGTTCCGGCTCATTTGTTTTCATTTCAGTCACATTCTACAGGCATTAAACCTCGTAATCTCTCTCTCTTATTGAGACCGCACCTCTAATTTATGCTCCTAACGAAGTGACAAAGTGTTGAACCGCGCTAACGTAAATATAACGTCGTCGCGCAAATGATTTAGAGTTAGTTTCCAGAGTTGAAGGACTCTGTTCTTGGTGTGCAAAATTTGCGGCTACCAGATACAACACGTCATTTCGTTCGTAATTAGGATTTAGCGTTGACAGGTTACTAGCCGCAAATTTAATGGGAAAAAGCCCTTCAGGCGTGTAAGAAACTTGGAAACAGTTTTTTGTTATGTACCTTTTAGGAAAATTAAACTGGGAATACCCGTCACCGTGTGAACCGCGTCATCATTAATGGATTCATTCGTTTCTGAAATTACATTTTGTTGGTCTTCAACGTGATGAGATGACGCTCGACCATTTTATATGTATAGAGGTATGGACGTATCATATTGAGTGAAACAACTGCAAAAACGAGATGAAACCAGTATACAAGCTGTAAATTTGAGAACTTTCGATGCGAATATCTCGCGAAATAAAAAAGTTACAAAAACGCCATTTGGCACAAAGGTTGAAGAGTTAGGGCCACTAGAACCACCCCAACTTCAAAATGTCAAATGGCACTACCTCATTCGTAATATCTCGAATGAGTCTCATTTAGTAGTATTCACCTGTACAAGAATTTGTTTTTCAGCCAACAGGGTGGCACAGAAACTTATCGAATAAATAATTTATATTGTGTTGAAATTATATTCCATTTGATCAGATGTTGTCACCAATAGCATAATTGATTTTCAAACTGGAATACATTTTGGCCATCTAAAGAAATGGAATATCATCCCGAAAACAAGAATGGAATCTGAAAATCCATTGTACTATTGTTTAAAACTGAATGGAGTGCATTTTGAACATCAGGTCAAATAAAATTTCATTTTAACTCAATAATTTATTTATTCGAAAATGTTTTTGTAGCACCCAGTGTTGGATGAAAAAAATTCTTGTATATGTGAATTCAGCCTTCCATGAAAATTCCAAAAATTCATCAATATACAGTGTTCTATTTGGAGAATTTGTCGCGGACGTCAAAACTCAAATGTGGATCACCAGAAATATTTAATTATGGCTTATGAATGTGGCAAATTGAGAATGAGAATCGACCTATTTTAGGAAATTTCTTAGAAATATAGTGTGGATAAAAATGAATTTATCCACTTCTTTACGGGAGCATTGAATTTTACGGAAGCACTGTATACAAACCCTTTCGGATTCAGCTCTCCATGGAGATTTCAAAAATGCAATAATACATAGGGTGTGTCGTTTGAAAAACTTGTCGTGGTCATCATAATCCACACGTGGATCACCCTGAATATTCCATTTATCTTTATAAATGTGGCATATTGAAAATAAAAATCGACCTGTTGTAGGAGATTTCTCAGTGATGAATAGTTTGGCTAAAGATCAATTCATTTAGTACCTACTTTACAAAAGGACTGTTATGATATGGCCAAATGAAAGGCTCAATAGGTAGCGAGCGAATGGTTTCGTATCTTCATATATTATATGTATACTACTGACGCGAGAGCGGCATCGTTGCACTACTAATGTTCAAGAGGTTGTAGCCATCTACTTCTTGAAGTGTATGACTCCATTTACTGTACTTGTATCATTCACTACCTGAGTTAACGCTCGGTCTGAGTGAGCTTACTTGTAGAAGATGTGAATTGCAAAAATTAACCTTGTAATTGTCAATGTTTCGGAACCGAGTATTCCTTTGGAGGTTCAAAACCTTCTGGGACATTCCAGAACATGCTAGAACATTCTGAGATGTTTTATTCAGTACTCTTCAGTACTAGATTTCTAGCTTCCCCATCAACTTTCCATATGAAGTGCAATCAGTGAGGGTGCCTATGTATTAGATTCGAACCTTTGTAGGTGGTTTGATGATAAGAAGCAGCGACTATGCCAGATGTATATGAAAATAACCTACCTGGTGATCACTTGACACTCAACAATTGAGCAGAGGATTGGGATTTGGGAGGAGACAGTCTTCTTGAAAAATCGGTAATAATTGCATTGATGGAGGCACTGTTACCCTGTATTTTCACCTATCAAACTAATGTCATTATATCAATCACACTGGTAAAGGTTACGAGGGAGGAATAGGAATGTTTGAATTTTTATCTGCCCTGATGTAAAGAATATAATATTCATCAAAATGACGCAAACATGTATAAAAACATGGTTAGGTGTTTCGATTTTAGTACATAGGGTGTAGGGAATTTGGAAAAATATCGTATTTCCATTAAAATATCTATAAAACCAAGTTGATCTCGGATTTTCTCGGACTTTAAAAGGTCATTTTGAGAAATAAAAACATTAACGCAGTTGATTTTTGTATAAAAAATCATAGAACGCCACTGTTTTCTGAGATTATTTTTCAGAAGATATCTGTATCTAGATTTTTTCAGAGGAAAAAATAACGAGTGTACGCTCGACTCGATTTTATTTAGGTTGAAACAGAACTGTATCCTGCATGAAAGTAGCAAATGAACAAGAGTAAAAACAAAAAATATAAGCCTCCGTCAGTGTTTCGTTAGATCCTAATATCCAGTATTTCAGAAATAAAGCAGTTGCTGACCTATGTTCATGTGGAGATTTTTTCTTGGAATTATTCAAGGATCATCGCCATTTAGGATCAACATTCGACAATGGAACACCTTTTGTTCATCTCTTGCAGCGAGCGAAAGAAAAAAGGAGGTATAGGTGTTGGAGTTTATGAGTCCTTGGAAATACTTCCATTGGCCATCATTGGCAAATAACTCCTAAGCTTCGCCATTCTATAGACGAACGAGTTTTGGTACAGTTTTGTTCGACATTTTTCAAAGTTAACGACGAAGGAATGTGCTGAATGAGCCTGTCGGGTTCGTCTGACTGGTATTGCCTGTGATGGAATGATAGCAGAGATTTTTGAGAAACATTTTTCGTGGGAGTATCTATAGAAAATTGAAAGGTCGCCGACTTTTCTACGGTGTTGTAATGGTGTCAAAGAGTTGGTGAGTGTGGCATCACCCACCAGTCGATTGGCTTTTCTCCAGATGGAATCTAAGAGCAACAGCGTATAATTAAGTGCTGTATAATTCACGATTTTGTTTTGTTTCAGAAGAACCGGCAATGAGGTCAAGTTAGCTGGGAGTATGGGACCGCCGGGATGGGCATGTGTACAAACCCAGGGGGCAAGTTTCGTCCATTGACCAACGCCACGGTACAGGTGCCTCAACGACCCATCACCCTATATACTGTTCTTACTGCCTTATTGACGTTCGTCTTATTGCAAACAGGTACGTCCTCATTATCACATCCAATATGAAGATGTTGTTTGTTTTTTTTTATGAAACTTTACAAGAGGTAAATTTCCTCTTGAAAATGTTGATTTCATTTGATCCGGCCATTAATTTTACTATGAAATTAGTTATCAATAACTCTCTCCCTTTCTTGAAATTGTCAGTTAACATTGTGAAAAATAGGTTTGAATTTTATATCTACCGCAAATCCACTCCATCCCATTTCTCAAAAACTAGCAGCTTTTGATTCTGTGATTCATAGATTATTTAATATACCTTTAACTACTTCTAACTTCAATATTGAATGGAACATTATCAAGCAGATTGCCGTCGATAATGGGTACCCTCTGTATTTTTAACAAAAATTCTATACTCAATCCATCAATCAAGGTCTCATTCCACAATAATAGAGATCCTTTTTGCTCAATCCCTTTCCTGAGTGAAATTTCCTACGATCTGAAAAATATTTTACAACGTTCTAATGATAACATCAATGTTTCCTTCTATACAGTAAATAGACTTTCCCATTCGTTATTCAACACCAAAGATTAAAATCTACCAGTACATGGATCCGGTGTGTATGAAATTTCTTGTTTGCACCCTGAGTGGAAAGAGAATTCAAACTCATGTTGTTATTGAACATGTCAAATCGATTGATAGCTACAAAAATTCTTCTAGAGATTTATACAAAAAATCGATTTGCCAATCATATCCTGAATTGTGGTCATCACTTTGATATCAATTATTAACTTGAAGTTATCACATATTTGCAATGAGGACACTCTTCTAAATTTACTGATGATATTTCAGATAAATAAATCAATTATTAGAGATGACAACATAATATCCCTGAATAAACGAACACATTTTGATTGCCAAACATTTTTCAACGCTCTCAAATTTTGATATTCTCTTAGTGGTTAGTACTTTGCCAGTTGCCTTATCTTGAATGTATTCTCAGTTTGCCCTGTTGTTCCAATTTTTGTATTTTTGTTATCTATTTGACATGTGATTCATTACGGTCCTGCTTGACATTCGTCTGATATTCTTCGTTTCATGCTATACGGAATAGTTTTGTGTCACTTGTCAATCGAGAAATATACTTCATATATCTCATGTCATGTCAATCCCTCTTTGTGGTTCCACCACGTCACAGTAATCATGATGATGAGCCCCATTTCATTTTTGACTATTTGGATGACCAAGTGTTGAACCCTCCATAAATCCCTCTTGCTATTGGCACTTTGCCCACTTTTAATATTTACATTTTATATAATAACTTATATCACTTCCACGTAAGTACATAACCTGAGTTAATTTTTACTGCTGATGATGGACTGACGATAGTCCAAAACATGTTCAGATAATTTTGAGAATGAATTTGTGGGGATGACTTATAGCGAATTTCATTGGCAGGAACTGGCGGAGTGTTTCTGCACTCAATGTATATCTTTCCTTCTCATTCGCATGTGTTGAACAGAGGTGAATATACACTGAGAGGAGAAACACTCCACCAGTTCCTGCCAATGGAATTCGCTATTAGTATGTCTTATGTCTTGTCTGAATAAAAATGTTCGTTACGTTCAATAAAAAAACTGAACATACTAAAGGGCATTCAGCGTTCTGATATATGGCTTCAAAAATTTAATAATCTCCCTTGACTGGCTGTCCGCAATACCGAGAGGTAAAGGCAATTTAAAGACCATCATTTTCCAATTTGGAGCGAAATATTCAGCTCGTGTCGCCTACATTTTTCCTGTTCCTTAATCTCGCAGACCATTAGAAGTCTATTTCGGTAAATAAAATGGCGAAAGTAACAAGGACAGATTGATTAGAAAAAAAAACCATTATGTGAAATTTGTTCGTCTCACTGCTGCAGAATTCCCACTACCGAACTCCGAATTGAATAATGGTGGCAGGTGTGGGATGGTCAGCTTTTTTAAACGGCGAAGTGAATCGACCGTTGAGATAATTGGAACTAAAAGTGTAATGATTCGAGTATGAGCATATATTGTATGGTCTGGAACAGCTGAAATTGTTGAAACTTCAACACGTCAGTCCGCAATTACATTTTGTCCGTCCCGAATGCATCTGTGGTGCAAATGATAAACGAATTATTCCAATGAAATGTCTGAAGCAGACCAGCGGATTCAGCCTGTATAAACAAATGTATCTGATGTGACGAGACAAGGGTCACAGTTCAAACCCAACGTTAATCAACTGAAATATGTCGTACATTTTATGTGGAAGCCCATTTGCTTTTGATGTTAGGGTCTGTCATAAAGTTTACCCCACAGAATTGCAGATGTGAACATCGAAATTTGCTCACTCAGACCTTGAAGCTTTGTGTAAACCAACACATGCGAATAAGTCCAGGCACACCTGATATGCTCTTTGACATTTAATTTCGGTGTTGCTAGGAAAAACTCTTTCAGATCTTCCAGTGCTCTTTCATCAGATGAAGTTCTTGTATTAAAATGTCCTGTATTTACTTGCTTATGAACGAAAGCAATAGAAGTAACTCAGTATCGAGATGATTACTTCAACGATCACGACTAAAAATTGATTATTCAATTCAAGAATAGAACATCGTTATAAATGGATCCCCCAAGAATGGCATATCTCAAGATGACGATTCATCGGATTGATTATCAAAATACAGTTCGGTCAGTCATCGTGTTGTATTTCATAAACGGTTATCGATGTATAGTTTATCCAAATTCAATTGGAGCGGAACTTCCAACCCGACGTCGAGAGATGTTCCAATTGACTTTGGATAGAATATACAAACTATTCTGAATGAATGTGTTTGAGTGTGAGAAATCTTTCATTCCTCGATTTAGAATCTAACAGCATAATTTATATTATTCAACTCACCGTCCTCGAGTCAGATTTTGAAACAATCCTCCCCGGAGTTCCACCCTGCAATATTAGTTCGATTCATTCGGTAGGTATATGAGTAGCTGCGGTCCCCCCACCACATCCAAAACTTTGACTCCTCCCTAAAGCCACCTATCGAGAGAATGCATGACTACTTTGGTACTTGATAAACCACTAATGTTACAGTTAGAATAAAGGTAGTCGATATAGCATGGTTTTCATGGTGTGGATGATTTAAATGAACTACATATCTCAGAGATGCCAGGACGGTTATTGCGCATGTTAGCATTTTCAGATCCCAGGCGAATAAGGCGGGAATTTTGAAATCCTAGAGCGATGATGATGCTGCAATCAGTCAACTTCACTAAAGAAAAAACGAATGTGTGGATTTTGTAGGTTACTGATGAGAGCACTGAGAACTGTAGGTAGTTAATGATCATATTTTCAGAAGATTATTGCAAATTTCATGTCACGACGTAGATAATCTATTCAAAACATGTCAATAACTCGATTGGAATACATTGATACCAAAGCGATCTTATACAGGGCTTTCATTTCAAAACTTACCACCCTGCATATCTTTTGATCTGCGAAGATTACAGTTTTCGCAAAAAACAGGTCGATTTAGATATCGAGGGGGAAGTAAAATGCCAGTATCAGTGTGGTATCAGTTGAATGCTATGTTCATCCCTTTCACCCCCTAGACACCCCTACTTTGAAATCTCTAGTGGCACCCCCTACTTTGAGATACATAAAATTGAAGGTCTATCAATGACCAAATCAACCAGGTGAAAAAATATTTATTTCGTATACCGGGGTGAGTCATGAGTTACTGTACATACTCCTACCACGAACAAAGGCCCCTGAGGGGAATATCGAATGGCCATCTGGAGTATTCCTCCCCTTAAATATATAATAAACAGGGTGATTTATGGGATAGAGCAAAAAAATATTTTTGTCACAATTTTCCAACAGCTTCTATGATTCATTTCATTTTGCCATGGAACATTAGGCACTCCCAACACCAATAGACTGACGTTTACAGAATTGAAAAAAATCCAGGATCGTACTTGTGAAATGTTGCCAGTTATCAAAGAGTTCACTCTCGATATCTGAATCGACCTGTTTTCTCCGAAAACTGTAATCTTCGCAGATCAAAAGATATGCAGGGTGGTAAGCTTTGAAATGAAAGCCCTGTATATTGGAGAAGGAAACCATCGATCTGGAATAAGTCACTTATATACACAGAATAGTGAACATTCGAAGAAGGTTGAGTCAACCCACGAGGGCAGTTTGCTTATAAGTGACTGAAAGTTCCATACCAATGATATATCTGAGTAGGTAGATAAAAGAACCCTGCAAAAAAACATTGCAAATTGGACAAATTGTCTGAAATTTAATTTGCATACCCATACTCATAGAAAACTTTTCAAACTCACTCAATTTTTTGATGAGCCATCCCACAACAAGATAGTGACATTTGAGACAATTCGACCGAGAGCCAATTTCCCATGTTTTCGTGCGGGGTACATTTTGCCGCACATATATCTATGGAACTTAGCTAGCTTATATTTCACTATTTTCAATCAAAGTGTGAATAGTGAATAACATTAGTATATTGTTTAACGAGCACGGAATGATAGTGATTTTCCACAAGAATGAAATTTGCAGTATGAGCCGTAGGCGAATGCTGCTATCATTCGAGTGGGAAATTAGCATTACCCTATGATTTTTCTACCGTTGTAACAGATAGAAGCGATATTATTCATTTCTTCGTTTTGTAGCCATCTGACAGAGCTGTCATTGCTTAAAATTTGACATTTCATGAGCGATGACTTTTTTTTTCAAATAACACATTGGAGTCATTGTGATATCAGATATACGGAAATGAAATTGATCACATACAAAATACCTCATTGATTTATCGAACACAGTAAAACAAGAGGCATATTGTGTTATATCCGTAGAAAATAGTATTTTGTTTAACGAGCATGGAATGATAGTGATTTCCTACGAGAATTAAGTTTACAGCATGAGCCATAGGCGAATACTGCAATCATTCGAGTAGGAAATTAGCATTCCTTGCAAGTTATACACTACAATTTTTCTACGGATATAATAGATAACAGCGGCATTTTCGATTCCTTCGTCTTGTAGCCATCTGATTTCCTGTCAAGTAATGCTCATCTATTAGACAGAGCTGTCATTGCTTGAAATTTGACATTCCATGGGCGATGAGTTTTGTTTTAATAATCACACAATGGAGTGTCATGATGACATTCAAAGTACCTCATTGATCTATCGAACACAGTGAAATAAGATCAATTTTGTGTTATATCCGCAGAAAAAATTATTGGCTTATTCGAAGTGACAGAGAAGGCTGTCATGATGACTACCGCTGACAGTGAAATAAGGTTGATTTGTTGATTGTGATCTTCTCTCGTAATTGTAGTTCACTGTATCCAAGATGCAGTCCACATCACAGCAATACTCGGTGAGTCGGTGGTGTTCAACTGCCACGTGGAGTTCCCTGAGGGACACCCCGTGCCGTACGTGTTGCAATGGGAGAAGAAGGTAGGCGACACGGTAGGATTTCACCCCCTCCTCTGCTCTCTTACTGGGTGATGGTGGTGGTCGGCCACCCCTGCGGAAATACGTTGAGGGTCGCCCGACAGCGCTGGGTTTGGTCCTTGCGGAACCACCTTGTTGTTGGTGCACGTTCATGGACCAATTTCGTTACACAATCATCTTCTTCATCATCATCTGTGCGGAAGGTGATTTTGCACTTGTCTTTCGAAAATGTTGTTTGTTACCTACGTATTTGAATGAAAATGTGAACAAACCACCCAGTAAACCATTTCTTATTTCTGAAGTGTTTTTGGAACTAACTCTGAGAAATATGAAACATTCCACTCTGAAACATTCATGAGACATTCTCGAAACCATAAATGACCTAGGGTGTTTGATGTTACATTGAAATGTTTCAATTGCATGTAGTCTCTGCTATATCTGATTGTTATGCCCGATGTCATGCAGGAACGTCTCAAAGTCATCTCGTTCGGACATTAACTGAAACGTTTCAGAATCAACTCTTATGGAACTTACTAGAATCATATTTTGATGAACTCACCAATGACATAACTTCAATCATATTCCATAGTTGAATAGTTTGTTATGCCATTAATGGAACCCAATTATTAACATTGCAGTTCACCAACATATGATCTGGTTGGTATATTCCCAATCAACAGTGCTGTGAATCGATTGATGCACTCCTGGAGATACTTCAACAGAAACGTTTCAGAATCAACTCTTATGGAACATACTAGAATCATATTTTGATGAACTCACTAATGACATAACTTCAATCATATTCCATAGTTGAATATTGTTTGTTATGTCATTAATGAAACCCAATTATTAACATTGCAGTTCACCAACATATGATCTGGTTGGTATATTCCCAATCAACAGTGCTGTGAATCGATTGATGTAGTAAGGTGATGAAATAGTTATTTTTGTATCTAGAGCGCGAAATGCTAATCTCGACTATTTTTTCAACTCGGCTACGCCTACAATGAGATCTCGATCACCAAAGTATTTCGCGGTCGAGTTGCAAACAACATTTTTCCTACGAACGTCAAAAAATATTGTTCTAAAGTAAAAATATGCTTAGCTTGATATAAAAAATAGTGTTCAACTGGCCCTAAAGGCTTTCCCCTATCCTCCCTAGGTACGCACGATGTTCCACGAACATAATAGGAATTTCCTATATGGTAGGTTAGATAAATCGTGTGTAGCCGAACACATGTTCGATCACAATCAAAACACACATATTAATAACCTCAAATCAGTTAAGCATGTTGATAATGTTAGGAAATTAGATGCATATGAAAGCTTAGACATATTTAAGGATAGTAATAGAGTAATGAACAGATCGCAAGAAATGCTTATCTCAGACAGGCGAAAAAAGAAGGTTAAATTTCGAACTTTTTCGTGAAATATCTCGATAAATGATGGTTTGTTCACATTTTCATCATAAAATTCTTGTTCTTCTGACAATAATACGTATACAGGTGACGAAACAATTCGAAAATTTGTTCACATTTTCATCATAAAATTCGTGTTCTTCTGACAATAATATGTATAGGTGACAAAAATATTCGAAAAAAACTCATCGCAGGATAAGAGCAAAATTACCGTGTGTATATTAGTTCTTCAACTTGATTTTTTCATTCAAGGGGACATGTATCGAAAATGGTTCATATTATGTTCGTGGTTTCGCAAGGTATTTTAACAGATGTGTTGCATAGTTATGATTAATTATTTTATTAATAACTGAAGCTTATCTGGTGGTAACATGAACTCCTCATATTATATGCCATCTATGGATTCCGTATCTTCTAGTTTTCCAAAAATAATAGTATATTATTCAACAAACCAACCTGAGTGAATAATAGCTCAGTATATGTGAGTAGAATACCATATTATGCTTCGTCCACGATTACTATTGTCTTTGAATATAAGTATATTCATTTTTAACAACCATTTTATTATTATCTATTCGACATAAAGAACACTAAAAATTGATAGCTTTTATATATTAATTATTTGTCCACGACTGTTGTATTTTCTCAAACAAAACGATAGCCATTTTTCACACCAGTGAATAATAGCGATATTACATAATATATCGCGTACCCCAGGATTTCTAGACCCGTGAATAATGGTAATTTGCCACTATTATTCACTGGAGTGAAAATGGTTATCGTTTTGCTCCAGGAAGTACATGTATACAACAGTCGTGGATACAAATAATGTTTCTTATTGAGTTATAATCAACCTGAATTTGTAGGTAGTTGGAAAACACAGTTTAGTACTTTCATTTGGACTATTAACAATTTCCAAAATATCAAAAATGATTTTCTAGAAAATGTTTGCTCATATCTTTGAAACAAAGAACGGTTTTCAAAAATCATGAAAGGAGAAAATATTCTTAGAATTGATCAAGGAACAACTCCTTGAATCTTTGCCGCAAGTTTAATTAAGACCTTGTATACTGGCGATTTCAGGAATTGAATTGGAATTCCTCAAGAAATGAACAATTCCACTTAACATACAATTTTTACTATTATATACTACAACATTGCGACGAAATTAAACGTTTCGATAAGATTGTTAATTTCAAGGAATATTACGGAATTGAAAAATTGTCAGAACTATCTTCCACAACAAATAGATTTCCTCTCATTGTATTTTGTTTTATGGATTTCTATTACCTATTGAATTCATCGCTCCAATTACGAAATCACCCTGTATATTCGTAAAAAACAACAAGTCTAATAATCGGTATAACAATAATCCAGATTTGAAAAAAAACAGCCTAGAGATAAATTCTCTCGTGGAAAAAAATCAGGTGTGGGATGAAAATTATGAGCTATTACGTGGATATTCTGTGGTATGGACCATCAGATTGGAAAGATCTGTCATCCATCAAGAGAAAATCCTCTACCTACTAATTTTCCTTCCCGCTGGCACCGATAATTATTTTAAATTAATTTCTCCCATTTTCCAGGGCATGCTTTTCCGGTGGGTGGTACAAAGGGAAATGAAAAAATACCGATAAAAGCGAGGAGTTTCATTAAAAGCTCGCAATTATAAAGACCATTATTAATTCTAAACTCAATCAAGTCCGCTATCAGGCAATAGCTATCAGATATACAGGGTGTTTCAATTTAGATCCTCACCATTGTGATCTCGGAAACCATTAGAGATACGAAGATGGTTGAATCCAAACAAAAATGCGCATCCACCTAACTAACAATATGCCGTTTCGTCTCCCGACCACTATCATCAACTTCAATTTTTCCAATGGATGCCATATTGGATTCTTTCTGTTTCGAGTAGGACTATTTTTCCCATTTCGATGGAGTATCACAAATCGCCACTGCTCTTTCTGAAAAAATCGGAGATATTTGAGAAATCGAATTATCATAGAAGGCTTTTAGTTTGATGTTTCACTTTCAATCTGTCACACCTAATGACATTCGGCTATTTTGAATCTGACTGTATTTTTGGCAGAAATGGCTGGACATACTTGGAATTTCGAAACTTTCTGAACGGCATATCGTTAGGTAGGTAAATGAGCCTCTTATTTGTCCCAATTTAACCATCTTCGTATCTCCCATAGCATCCAAGATCCTAATGGTGAGGATCGAATTTCAAACACCCGGTATATGCATACAAGATCATCTATAAATGATAATAATTATAATCTGACTCAACCACCATATATCTCAGTGATACATCTCAGTTAGAATATTTGAATAAGAAACTATGCAATCATCTGGGTTGAGATACCGTAAGAATAATTTTTTTATCTGTTTTTTTTATTTGGAGGTGTCACAAGAGTGCCGTAACCACCCGGATACCTCCCGTTAAATTCTATTGTTTTTTATCAGATCAGAATTTTAGTAATTGGTTGCAGTGAACGTATTTATACGTCACAGATAACTGGGATACGGAGAGCAGATCAGCGTCTTGTCATTATCATTGTCATCCGATTGTTTTTCATCATACATTTGTGTTTTTTCTGCCTCCATACCTGAAACTCTTAGACCGATGAAAACCTGCTCAGTTTGAGAAAGGACACAAATGTACCTAACTAACTACTCATCAGAAGCATTCATTTTTTATCAATGTTGTTCAGCAAAATCAATACATTGCACTCAATCTCAACAATTTCCTTAAATAGACTCACGCAATCTACTACACTGTACTAACAATCACAAACTATGGATCATTCGCTTTATTAATCAGTTCGAAGTGAAATCTGTATATTATGTGTTTTATTGCATACTGTATTTATGAAACACCACCACCAGCATTTTTCGTTCAACCTCCTCACTTTTTTTAATCAATTTGAACAACGTACACCAACGAGGTGCTCTTCTGATATTATCACGGCTCAGAAAATTACAAACAGTCTAATTTAATCGACATTGGGCATTGGCCATTCTTTCAGTGACCTCATCATATTCTCTCAGTAACAACTGGGTGGAAATTCATTTTCCTAAATCTATGTTCGTAGACTCGCTAGTAAAAATCACCTCAAATTGTCAAATCATTAATCTACCTACACTGCAAGACCCAAGCTACCGTTCAGATTTGTTTATGTTGTTATATGTATGGTTTGTTTTTGCCACTTCACACATGGAAAACAAAATCGAATAGACATTGAAAATACAGAAGACGTAGCATTCAATAATAGTTATTTGTTCAACTAGGCAGCAAAGTGGTAGATTGACTGCCGCCGCGGCTGATAGGTCATTGCCAAGCGTAGCGAGGCTAGAAATACAGCCAAGGCAGTCAATATACTTTGCTGCGATGTGAAACATATAATTTTTTTGTCTAAATGTTTCATAACCAATTTTGTGTAATTTTTTATTGAAAACTCAATCAGTTTGTGTTCACCGAATGACAGTGTTAATTTTCATTGCCAATTTTATTCAAATTACTTGGAACTTTTTTCTGCCTAGGCAGAGAAAGTACATCTTTGCTGCCTGTTAAGTGTC